AGGTTATTTAATTTCTATTTAATTTCTATTTAGTCCTTTCTCATGTAATTATATCGTTTATCAATTTATGCTTTCTCTAAAGCGAATATCTAAAGTTGTTGAGTGATTGAAAACATATATAGCGAGTTGCTTATATTTTGATTTTTGAATATGAATATTTTCATATCTAAATAGTTGGAACCTTTGGCATGTCGTGTATATATATATATATATATATATATATATATATATATATATATATATATATATATATATATATATATATATATATATATATATATAAAAATATCAAGAAATCAAAAACTTCAAAGTAATTAAATTATATTTTTTACGTTTCGGGGACAAGCCCCTTCTTCAGAATAACGCTACATCATCTCCGTCTCTTGCTTAAATAGTCTAACGTTTAGCTATACATAAATTAATTAAACCTCTTCCCTTAAATTAAGCCCACGTGGGACATAACTATTTAGTTTCTCAATCCAAAAACTGTCCCTCTCAGTGGGGTTATTAACGTCCGTGACGTCAATAACCTGCACTAAAAAATCACTTAGACCTGAATGTCCCTCCCCCCAAAAATGGGCATACAATTGTTGCCCACAAATATTTCTCTGCCCCCGCCCATATCTATTTAATGCACTCTTGTGGTTATTAAATCGCAATCTGAACGGTGTTATGGTATTCCCCACATATTGCAACCCACAGAATTTACAACTAATCAAATATACTATACCCTCAGAGTCACAATCGAAGCGATGATTAATGCAGAAAGACCGCCCCTCAACATGGCTTTTAAAAGTAGCACCAATAATAACATTATCACAGATTTTACATTTCTTCTTTCCGCACTTAAACATCCCTACGACCGTTTCCTCTTCCCTTCTCAATTTAGAACGGACTAAGTGATCTTTAAGGTTTTTAGACCGACGAAAACACACCATTGGTGGTTCTGGCATAATACTTAAAAACCTTTCAGACCAACTTACAATTACTTGCAATTCCCTAAAGATATTGTAAAGGACCCTCAATGCTGGATGATAATCTATCACAAAACAATTCCTATTACTATTCTTAACACCCTCTTTCCGCATTAACAAATTATTCCTGTCGACTTTTCTCACTCTACCAAACTGGTCATCAACAAAATCCGAATTATAGCCCCTCTTGACCAAAAAACCTTTTAGCTCGCTTAGTTTTTCCTCAAAAGCATTTTCCGAGTTACAAATTCGCTTTAAGCGCAAACCTTGACTATAGGGAATCGCTCTCTTGACATGTGGTGGGTGACAAGATTTAAAATTCAAATACTGATGTGCATCAGTAGGCTTAGAATACACATCAGTATGGAACGCACCATTAACTTTATTAATCCACACATCAAGAAAAGCAATTTCCTGTGTACTAATTTCCCAGGTAAACTCAATATTCTCATGAAATGAATTCAACTTACTGAGGAAATTGTTTAATTCCTCCTCCCCGTGAAGCCATATCATGAAAACATCGTCCAAAAAACGCCACCAAACCCAAGGTTTAAGCTCGCAAGAATCTAAAAAACGTTCCTCGAAATACCCCATAAATAAATTAGCGAAACCTGGCGCAAATTTAGTCCCAATAGCCGTTCCCAATTTTTGTCGAAACATATTTTCATCAAATTCAAAAAAATTATTTTCCAAAACCAATTTGGCAAGTGAGATTAAATCATCGACCGGCAAGTCCTTTTCTGCCTTATTCATTGCTAATCTGAGAGCCTCAAGACCTTCGGTGTGTGGTATATGAGGATATAATCCCACTACATCCATAGTGCACAAAATTGCAGTCGATGGGATATGACCTAAGTCTTCCAAACGTTGCAAAAAATGTGTACTATCCTTTATTACAGACGGCACACCTTCCACCAATGGTTGAATATGAAAATCCAGAAACTCCGACCCTCGTTCTGTAGCCGTACCACAGTTGGATATAACCGGTCTACCTGGCACATTTTCAAGCCGCTTGTGAATTTTAGGCAATAAATAAAATCTACCCAACCGTGGTCTCGGCACAACGAGGTATTCTAAGTTTTTACTAGAAATATAACCTTTATCTAACAATGGTTTAATATATATATATATATATATATATATATATATATATATATATATATATATATATATATATATATATATATATATATATATATATATTGAATGTTAAATTATCGAAACTAAGCTCAATTATCCAAACTACTCGTCTTAGTGAGACCATGAGAACGTCCATTATTGCATTAAACATGGTTCAATTAACCCCTGAACAGGGAACATATGTAATCAAAACGTTTTACGAAACAAGTACCTTGCAGCAGACTCGCGGTGCTTTTGGATTTCAGTATTAACTTTGCATAAGTAATGTATTTTCAATTCCCGGCAACGGTGGAAGACTGGTGATTTCGACCGAAAAATGTTATTTGACGAGTATGTGGCCATTTCTCTCGTTATACAGCGCAGCTCGCTGTATATGCGGGTTCAAGACCCAGCCGCGGCAGACAACATCTTTCTGCTTGCGCTGAGTATGGAAATTATATAATACACACTCTAGAACATTTTCATCTTAACATATTACGGAGTGTACAATTACACAACTTAACATAACACTTGCAGAACTAGTATTGTTCGATGCTGAATTAATATAAACGAGTATGTTTATGACATTCAGTATATATTTCATTATTTCCAGTTTTAAATCCGTCTGACCGTGTAGCTCAGTTGGTAGAGCGTCGATCTAGTAATTCGAAGGTCGCGAGTTCAAGACCCATGCAGCCGCGGCAGACAACATCTTTCTGCTTGCGCTGGGTATGGAAATATATAATACACACTCTAGAACATTTTCATCTTATATATATATATATTCATTCTTTTCATTAAATAGGGAAGGACAAATTTGGCCTGGACTTCTTGTGGTGTCTTTCTAGCCAAAACGTCTCCATAAAAGCTTTAATTATATAAATAGCAAAAAATGTATAACAATGAACTAGTGGAAAGTGTCAAGAGAAGTTCTCCCTAGAACAGTAAAAAAAGCGCTAAGAAACTTTGACATTAACACCTGTAGTTATTGTTCATCGCATTTCTTTAAAATTTCTTGTTAAAATGTAATAATCAGTTAAATTTGGCATACTCGTTTCAACCAGATATTTTCGTCTGCATTGGAAAGTTGAATTGTATGTTAAATGTGTGCTTATTCCCAGGCATGCATGCAGCCTATTACCTTCAGTTACCCTGTTATCTTATTGCTCTGCTCATGTGTGCTTATTCCCCTGCATGCTTATTACCTTATTACTCTGTTACCTTATTGCTTTGCTTATGTGTGCTTATTCCGGCCCTGCATGCTTATCACCTTATTACCTTGTTACCTTATTGCTTTGCTTATGTGTGCTTATTCCCTTGCATGCTTATTACCTGTATGCTTATGTCCATCAATATTAAGTTCCTGCTCGAGGTTATTTGCCATCAAAAACACCCATTTTACAAGAAACATCATTTTCGGCCGGCATGTTTCAGCGAATAATTCTTGTCTGCTAATTTCGCGATGCGACAAGTAATTGTGGTCTTGCATGATTAACGTTTATTAACGTTTACGTCTGCTAGCTTTCTTTTATTTTCCCTCTGTTGCAGTACGAGAAACTAGGGTAGCGAAGTCTGTGTCAGTTTTGTTGTTTTCACAATTTTTGCTGGCAAAAAGAAAGCATCCGCGAAAAATTTGGTCAGCGAGGACACTTTTCCCACCTGTTACGCCCATGCAATTTTGCAAGAAACATCATTTTCGGCCATATTTGAGCGACAAGTAATTGTGGTCTTGCATAATTAACGTTTAGTAACGTTTACGTCCGCTAGCTTTCTTTTATTTTCCCTGTGCTGCAGTAAGAGAAACATGGTAGCGAAATATATGTTTTTGTTGTTTTCACAATTTTTGCTGGCAAAAAGAAAGCATCCGCGATAAATTTGGTCAGCGAGGACAATTTTCCCACCTGTTGCGTCCATGCAATAAGGACAAAAATACCACCGCTCGCTCGCATTTCGATTCAGAATAAGAAATTGTACTTATGGATGTCAAATGTATACAGTATTCTAGCGATTTATGGCCTTTGAAAGTCAAGCGAAATTGTATTGTTATCATTTTAACAACTTTATTGGTTAATATTTATAAATATGTACAAATACATTTGAAAAATAACCAATCGGCAAAGGCGCGAACGGGACTGAAGTACCCATGCGAGGCGCCTTCCCGTTAAAATATAACGTTAAAATAACATAAGTCAACATAAGACTAAAATAGTAAATTATACTGTATGTAAAGCCAATTCTCAATGGCAAGAACAGTCACGAGACAGTGTCCATGTGCACGGGAAGTCTATGTAAAAGGATGCATTGAATAAAGTCAGGTATGTTTGCTTGAGTAATTGTTTAAATGATGAGATGTTGGAAAAGCCATGCACAGGAGCTGATTTGCAAATAGTGTTCCAGATGCCTGAAAAGCGTTTGTCTTACAACGTGGAGCTTTCATAACTAAAGGAATCTGGCTGTGTCTGGTGCGGCCATGGCCTATAAATGCAATATATTTATTGACGTTCACGTCGATGTACCCATATAGGGCCTTGTAGAAAAAGGTTAGGTCTTTGATTTCTCTGTCGTAGCATAAAGGCAATAAGTGGAGCAACTGCAATCTTTGGTGGTAAGACCTTTCTTTGCCTTTGTAACCGAAGATCCATTTGGTAGCTCGCCTCTGTACTCTTTCAAGCTTGGCTTTGAGCTTGTCCTGCGCCGGGGACCAAACTTGGGTAGCATAACATAACTGTGACTTGACAAGAGATAAGTATAATGTCCGTCTCACTTGAATATCAGTTAACAGTGGGCAAGTTCTCTTAAGAAGACCTAATAACTTGTTTGCCTTTGCAACAATTACAGATATGTGATGATGCCAGGTGAGTTTGGATGATATAGTAACTCCAAGATCTTTCTCTTGCTGAACGCGGGTTAATATGGCACTGTGCTGTTGAATTTCATATTGCTCTGCTGGCTCCAGATGTTAATGTTGCTGAGGGCTTGCTGTAAACCCTCGCAGTCAGTCAGAGACGATATGTTTCGATGTAATTTGGTATCGTCCGCGAACAGTGCTGTATTGGTACCATTTGGAATAAATTCAAGGAGATCGTTAATGAATATAACAAATAATAAGGGACCCAGGATACTTCCTTGAGGCACCCCGGAGGTAACAGGTACCCACTGGGATACAGCACCGTCGATCACAACCCTTTGAGTGCGACCGTTCAGGTAGTCGGTGAGCCAGTCCAGGAGTCGTCCAGCCACGCCGTAGCATTTTAGTTTCTCAACAAGTATTTGATGGTCAACCGAGTCAAATGCTTTGGCAAGATCAAGGTACAAAACGTCCGACTGGGTGTTATTGTCAAGATTTTGACCAATGTTGTGAAATACCGAGAGCAGTTGTGTTATACATGAACGCTTTCTCAGAAATCCATGTTGTAGTAGAGAAATTAGTTGAATAACGTCAGCTACATGTGATTGTAGACGCAGCGTTCCATGACTTTACTCACAATTGATAGCAGGGAAATAGGTCTATAATTTTCGGCTGGTTCTTTGGAGTTTTTCTTGTGGACAGGCGTGACGTTGGCAGATTTCCACTCGGAAGGAAAGCGACCGCAAATGAGAGAGTGGTTGAAGATGGTACAAAGACTCGGTGCAATTTGTTGACAACATTCCTTCAAGAGCCTAGAGGGTATCCCGTCTGGGCCGCAGGCTTTTGTTGTGTCCAGGGAATTTAGACAATCCGAGACCTCTTCGACACAAAGGGTAATGTTGGATAGTAGCATGTCTGTCTTTAAAGGAAATGAGTGGCTTGATGTAACTTCATTGACCGCATTATCAGTGCTTGGATGTGAGAACGTTGAAGAGAAATATTGGTTGAAAAGGTTTGCTTTTTCTGATGCAGTTTTAGCTGTGGCACCGTCATATGTAATTATGGTGCTTGGACTAGTCCGACGATAGAGAATGGCTTTGTGATAGCTCCAAAAATGCTTAGGGTTACTGCTGAGCGAGTCTTCAACTTTAGCTAGGTACTCGCGATGTTTTCTTTTGATGAGACTCTTGACGTTTTGAGTAGCTATGCGTAGCTTTAGCTTTTTCATTCTTCACAAATCACTCAAAATTATTAAACTAATTAAAAATGCAGTACGTTTGAACCTTGATAACTTTGGTATCGTTGGTTTTCTCTTCTTCGGCCGTATACCAGTGGATTCGTCTCACTTTTCTCTTCATTTTGATAGTATTTGGAGCCATGCAGAATATTTTATTTTGAAGGTTTTAAAGCGCAGTTTGAATTTTATTTGTAGGGCACCGTACTTTAGTACTGTGCATGTCTGGTTATATTTTAATAGTCAATGTGTGTAATAGTCAAAATAGTCAAGTGATGGATCTTTCCCATTTTGACGGTAAGTAACAAACAATAACTCTATACTGGAAGTTTTATATGTTGTTTATGTCATTATTACGTGTGTTCACCAAAAAATTTAAATCAATATGATTAATTCCTCCTGAGTTACACGTCTTGAAAAAAAAAAAGTGAGGACGTCAGCATTATTTTCGAACGCCTTCAGAACTGTATTAAGGCCCGTTTACACTTGCAATTTTTGCTGCAATTTCTAGTGTGATTTTTTCCTTCTGATGCATGTGAACGAGTAGATGAGTTACGAATGTTCGGAATACGTGTACTCTCATCTGAACATTCATAACTTATTCACTCGTTCAAATGCATCAGAAGAAGAAAATCGCACCTAAAATCGCAGTAAAAATTTCAAGTGTGATCGAGCTTTTTATACACAAAATTTATTTAAAAATTATTGGTTAAGGTTAAGACGGGACTTCTTACTTGATTAAACAACTGACTCAAAGTTGCCTTTATTTTAGCTAAATTTTATCAGATAACATAGTTCTGAAGGCGTTCGAAAATAATGCTGACGTCAGTACATTTGTTTTTCAAGACGCTGTAACTCAGGAGGAATTAATCATTCATTCAAAACACTCGTAATAATGATATAAACAACATATAAAACTTCCAGTATAGAGTTATTGTTTGTTACTTACCGTCAAAATGGGAAAGATCCATCATTTTGTAATAAAATATGCCGTCAGACGTCCATGTTTATAAACAGTCGCATGGCTACCATCGGAAAATATTGTAATGTTCCAGTATATTCCGGGAAAATGTCGTGATATTCCGTGATATTCCGCCATATTCCGTGATATTCCGCCATATTCCGTGATATGCCGCCATATTCCATGATATTCCGCCATATTCCGGCATTCCGGGTTTTCACAACGCCCAATAAATTGAGTAGATTATAACATGTAGGTCACGAACATTGTAAGAGGCAAAACAGAAAGAGCGCAAAATAATTATTGTTACAATAGCAAGCTAACGCAAATACAGCTATGCAAATATATACTCGCACAACAATGCATGTAAAGGAATAATAAACGGCGAGAATATCTTATATATGTCGACAAAGACTTCGACTTGTATCCTTTTCCGGCTGATAATTTCAGCAAAAATAAAACAAAAGTTATTCCGAATAAGGAGTGCATAATATTAACACACAATTTATTAAAACTGTATATTTCGAATCTAAATCAGATTCATCTTCAGCAGTGTTTTGCAAGATATGTCGTTATATTTACAAGCGTGAGCAATTTTAAACAAGCTAGCGTGCGACATCTAACACGACACCTTAGTAACACCTTCGACTTATAACACTGTAGTATAAAGAAACCGATAACTCCTATCTGTAATCATCGCTTCTTTAATTTGCTTGCGTATATGCCGATGTATATCACAACGAAAAAACTGAGTCAACTAACTATCACGGCCAAGTGCCTCTGTTGGAAAACCACAAGAAGTTGCATGGAATGCTCTAAAACAATCTAGAACAGGGGAAGACGTATCGCGAATGCGTTATTCAGTGTAGTGCCAGTCTGCCAGAGCATGACTGCGCTAATCGACTACAGAAATTTAGGTGTCAAGAAACTAGAAAAATGTAGAAGGTGTAAATGCACCAAATGAACGTGGTCACAATAATTATATATACTTATACATATATGACGACCAGTCCAACATCAATAACTTATTAGTTGATGCCGCCGGTTAATCCTTTTGTTGTCACAAAAAGGGGTAACCAGTTGCCCCCGCACTGTTAGGGCAGCGGGGGCCACTGCTCCCGTGGCTCCGGTGCCCCTGAGAAATTTGTTAGTTGTATTAGGTTGTATGGAATGCTGTTTGCGGAAGTGAGCCTATAAGCCCTAGTACGATCGGAATTTGTCTACGGCAAATTTCCCTTCATATCCAGTAAATGCTGTACATGTATACAGACCTGAACTAGAAACGTTGTTAACATTTCAAATAAATAACAGCCCCGGGCGGCCTTACATGCATGCAGGCGCTCAATAATTTAGATTGAATTAGTCATGCAGTCTAATATTATCAGCAATTACAGTAGAAATATTATGCGATTACAGTAGAACCCTATAGTCGTTATATTATTCATCACAATTGTGAGCCATTACAGTGCAATCAAACTGAGAACTGACCGTGTTGGTAGTTTGTATACTACTGTTACGCGCGCGTAGTGTACTTCGCAATTAAATACTGATGAAAAAAAGATCAGTACTTTAATTATATGAAAAGCTAGTGAAATTAAGAATAAATCTGCCGGATAAGGCGGAGGCTCAGTTCAACTCTGTCTTTGTCTTAACTAGTTTCTACCTTTATAATAACTGTGTACTAGCTACATTGTTTAATTTAAATTTTAATTGGACAATTCATTTAGATTGACAATATGGTTAAGCTTAGCAACTTGTTCAAAAAGACGCGATTTCTCTGACTGAATTTGAACAAAAACATGACACAAGTTGTCAATTTCACCAATCTTAAAATGACACTTATTAATTCATATATAGAATCAGTAAATAAATGAGGAATATAATAATAGTTAGTTGGTTGGTTGGTTGGTTGGTTAGTTGGTTGGTTTGTTGGTTGGTTGGTTGGTTGGTTGGTTGGTTGGTTGGTTGGTTGGTTGGTTGGTTGGTTGGTTGGTTGGTTGGTTGGTTGGTTGGTTGGTTGGTTGGTTGAAACGTTAATTTACCTGCATGTGTTTGTTAATCCTAAGGCTAGTTTTTTGCAAGACATTCTCTACGAAGAGACTAACATAAAAAACAGCCCCGGGTGGCCTTGCCAGACTATAAATAATTTAGAATTTGCGGTCTAATATACCGATTACTTGTACATAACTAATAGTAACTATAACACGGTTTCTCATTTTAACAGAGCAAGTTTACTATACAACAAAGATGGAAGGAAACAGCAGTAAATCCACTGAAAAGGGAACGGATGGCACTGCTGAAAAACAAAGCTCTGTCAGCTCATCTCGCAACCAGTCCTCTGTATTCATGAAATATGTTCGACCTTGTTTTGCTGAATTTCTTGTAGTCTTAATTTTCGTGTTCGTCGGTTTCTGCAGTGTAGCCAATGTGTCATCGTTTATACCGTTAGTTCATGGCCTCGCAATTATGGTCTTGGCATTTCTCGCTGGTGGAATAAGGTATGATTATGTAAATTCATTTCAAGTGTATTAATAAAGTAGGTTTTATGAAAAGGTAAGATTATTCAGAATTAGAACAGCAATCGGAGAGGCCAAAACCTTCATGGCAAGTATAAACTGTTGAAAATGAGTGAAACTGTTGTGAAGTATTTTGTTCACCAAGTCCCATTAACTTGGGTTCATACTTCATAGTAAAATAGCAGTCAATTTTTCGAGAGAAAATACAATAGAGCGTTTTCACTCATTCCCCATGCAGAGACCAACTCAACAAAAGCCATGGCGGCCATGTTGGTGATCCAGACAAAAGAGCCTAATTTTAAAAATGCTTTTGAATTAGAACACCAACATGTGTTTATTTTTAAAGAACTTAATTAGTAGGGAAAACAAGTGGCTCTCCCCTGATGATTTTGAAAACAAAGCAAAAAGAATTTCTTTTGCATGAATTTTATTTTTCCCCTTTTTTTGTTCTTGTAAAATGCATGAATAATTAATAAGGCTACAAACAAATCACGATGCGGTATTTAGGTCACATGTGCACACTTGTAAGCGGCATGTGCTAAAACCTGGACGATGGAAGATTTTTTTTACAGTCAAAACACTAAAACCCGCACACTTTCGCTCTTGTACTTTGTTGTCATTTATTGTATATATTTCGTTGTGTATTAATAATAATACTTATATTGCAATACAAAGAATGACTTTTCCGTACGATTCACTGCATAAGTAGCAACATTTAACTATATTATTGGTAACGCATAATTTGGTAGCCGCTAAAGTAATACAAAACAAAATATATTGCTTTATTATTAACTATCATTTATTGTTTATCATTAAAATTGCTGAAGCAGTTTCCATCAATTGAAAACTAAAAATTAAAACAAATATCGCGTTCTCGCCAAAAATCGCGCGGGAATTTCGTTTTGTGCTTGCCAGGCTAGCCTCGTGTAAAACAAATAACAACTTGGCCCGCCAAAACTAGCTAGCTCGGTTTAAGGTCCATACAGACCGAACGCGATTCGACAAGGCGACGCGAATTTTCAGTTTTTAAAAACAAATAAAACCGTCAACGGATAAAAATTTTACAAGATATGCAGATCAAATAGCTAAAATTGCTAAGTGGTTCCGAATATTTGAAAAACATAGAAAAATATTGAAGTTAAATGTCCATCGTCCAGGTTTAGCACATGCCCTTGTAAGCCGCATTATAAAGATCAGAAAGTCGTGTTAGAGGGATATGTTTATGAAAGTTAACAATACTAATTAGAAGCATGGATGTTTATAAATGTTAACAATACTAATTTAAGTTTTAATAGCATGCCAATGAAGCGTGAGATTGTCCCCATGGGCAAAGAATACTAATAAAATAAACAAATAAATTCATTTTACAAGTACATGCAACTGATAAGAGCAACTGATCTTTATGGGCATTTAACAATGATGGCTCGCGCTACGCGCTCGCCATTGTAAATGCCCATAAAGATCAGCTGCTCATTTTTAACTAGTAGTAGTACTTAAAATTCTGCCAACTAATATTAATTTATTATAAGCAAAAGCATGGCTTCTCGGGAGATTAGTGATTAAATGACCCCGTAACCCGAAGCAGGTTTGTGGAGTCCCCGAGGGCGAAGACCTCGGGAATTCCGCAAACCTGCCTAGGGTAAGGGAATTTAAGCTAAAACATTTGCTTCTTTGCTTGTGGGATGTAAAAGCTTGTTGCACATGCGCACTTTTTACGCTTTAATCGGTTACGCATGCGCAATCTATCATTTAACGTACCACAACAAAAACGATAAATATATTAGTATACTAGAAGTTACTATCGCAAGGAAAGTACTGCTGCCTCACCCCCAAGGGATCAAAGGCAGCATGCGCAATTTGCTGAGTAAGGGGCTGTTTTTATGATCCCGCTTTGACGCATGTTCAGGAAGTAGGAAAAGTGCAATTTGAATACCAAACACCTTGCACAAGGTCAAAGGTCAGCTAAATAGTCTAATTCTAATACAGTCAGTGGTGAAGCTAGGTCGTAAGTTCGATTCCCACCGTGGCCAGGCATATTTTTCAAGCTTGCCCGGTGTGGATATATACACTCAGAGTAACATCACAAGCATCGTATTCACCTGAGTACATTACACCAACACAGAAAAAAACAAGGTCATGCTACAGTATACAAGTTTTTAATGATTTGCATTATTCAAATAGATCCAGGTTTATAGGTGTGACATGACCAGTTGCCATTGTAGCTAGCTTGCAACTGAATACTGTACAATATCATATTATATATAAACAATAATAATACTTGAATGAATCATTGGACATGTAGAATTTAATAACAATTTCATACACAGAAATATTAAGTCAGGTTTTGACCCAATTATCATTTTAATGGCACCTTCAAAGTAATCTGCGATCAGGCCTATAAATAAATAAATAGGCCTGATACAAACCTTGACAAAAGATCATGCCTTACAATCGTATTTCGGGTGTAAATCTGATTGGTCTATGAGACAAAAAGATTTTTTAATCTGTCATTTGATTGGTTGGTGCTAATTATATTATATTGTTGTTTATAGTGATCACAACTATAATTAGATTGTTGTTGTCCTTGTGTGAAATTTAAATTTCTCCTGCGACATTTTGATTGGATAATAAATATACACTTTGCTGCACATGGGTGGAAAACTATCGGATTAAGGTTTGTGTCAAGGTATTTTTGTAAAATACAGCCTGATCTCAGGTTACCTTCAAAGCTACCCACACTACCATAGGAAGCAATTTTGTATTGGGAGGGGGGGGGGTGATTAGTCTGGGGAGTTTACAAATTGTTGCTACGACCCTGAACCCTAAATTGCAAAACAACTGAACAATCTGCTGATGCCTGATGGGGAGACAAAATCTGTTTGTTGACAGTTTTGTTTCATATGTCAGCTTCTGATGACATCATTCATTTGTAATGATTAAGATTGTACTCAGCCAGAACTGCAAAACTATATAATACAAGAAATTAAATAATACAAAACTATATAATACAAGAGCATTATAAAAAAATATAGTATACCCTGAACTGTAGTGACACAGCCAGGTGATATATTATTAACAAGTAACAAATATGGGCATACATCTCAGAGATATATGTGTGCAGATCGTCATACCTTTTGACCAAGAGTGGATTGACTACAAAATTTTTGTAGTTCGCTATAACTACAGCTACTTCAAAAATATGTAGTCAGCTACAACTACTGCCACTTTTGAACAAAGGTAGTTCGCTACAGACTACAGCTACTGCTTAAAAAATGTAGCGAACGATTTCGCTATTTCGCTACGCTATATTTTTTAGTTTTACTGTATTTGGAACATCTACTAACTCAGGCTGTAATGTAACCTATAACAAATCGACTTACGAGTAGCAACAGTCAACACAAAGCAACATTTTTGTAAGCACTATAGTGTTCGGGAGTGCAAATTGATTATTGAGGATTGATTTGCAAACCGTGTCTCAATATCATGCTGTTCTATCAAGTTGCTAACAATTTTAAAAAGTAGCGAATAGCGATTCGCTGTTTGAAAAGTAGTCAACTACTTGGCTACTTTTAGCAAAATGTAGTTCGCTATAACTACAGCTACTGTTTTAAAAAAGTAGTCAAAAACTACTGGCTACTTGAAAATTGTAGTTCGCTACAGTAGCGAACTACAACTACTTCGCTACTACCCACCTTGCTTTTGACAAAAGTCGGTTGACATGTTATTACATGTAACTGCTGGTAGTTAATATGTGCAGACAACAATCCACACTGGGTTGCTATAGGAATATCTTTCTACAAGTCAGATATTTTTTTCATTCGTATATAATTATGTGTTCCTGTTTTGAACTTGGACTTTCATTATGAACGTGCATGCATAAATTTAAGTTAATGTTATTTACGTCATCGCCACGCGGGGACATCGCGCGTGTGAACACATGGTTTTACAAAGAGAAAACAAAATATGCTTTTGAGATTTATTAGCGAAGTTGTAAGCCAATAAAGATACTTTTTCATTGTTGTTAACATTGCATTCCTGTCAAGCCGCCGTCTAAAACAGCTGGTCCTTCGTCCCGGATTAAGAACTACTTTGAAATGCCAGTAGAAGTGGAAACTATCGAGAAACTTCGATCGAAGCGGAAAAAAAGGCGCCAAATCAGCCATTACAAGCAGGCATTAAAATACGGAATTTTTTCAAGGACACACTTTGCCTTCAGAAGCAAATTTTCGGTATAAATGCGCAGACTCACGAGAACAAGTGGCGAAGGCACAAGTTGAGCGTCAAAGACGCGAGCTTTTAAGGGGTCTCTTACAGTGCCTTGAGCCGTCGAGGTTTGGCAAACGCGCGACTGGCGCGAGTCTGAAGAGAGATTTTGTAATACTTTAATTTATTAACTTCAGCTATATTTTACTTTAAACAATAACTTCAACTCTTTGTAGCTATAATCGTACAGCTATAACCAGTGGCGTAGCCAAACCTTAATTTTGTGGGGGCGAACCTCACGAAGGCGTGAGACCGTCTAGGAGGGTCCGGGGTCCGGAAAATTTTGAAATCTAGGGCCCCTGAATTGCGATTTCATGCATTTTGGGGGTGAAATCTTGCAGAATTCCGAAGATTATAAAGTACATCGAAGACATGAATTTTTCCAGACATTTCTATTCGAAATTAAATAAATTGGAAAAGTTACCTTGAAAAATAGGATTAGGGGTCAGTGTCACCTTATTTCCTCTCTGTGATGCCGGGGGGGGGGGGATCCCAATGTGATTTTGATCAGAAATGCTGCATTTAATCATTTTAGGTTCTATGAGACACCATTTCCGCATTCTAAAAATTGTGTTGCTTTTTCATACGATACAGAATAAGTCTGAGAAGAAATATTCATGCTATGATGATGCATACATGTATTTAACAGTTAAAAATCTAAACTAAATCTATTCTTCTTGGAACCATATCTACAACTGCTTTAACGAGATTTCACAAATCAAGTTCCTCCAGTATATCGTCTTTTTCCTCAGTCGAGACGTACTTAATCAGTTTCAGCTTCGAGCATGTAACGTGTACCCCCCCCCCCTCCCCAATTTCTCTACGGATTTAGCCTTTCTGAGAGAATGGTTTTTGTGGCGACTGGGGGAGGGGAGGGGGGCTCTTAATATAACTTGATATTTTTAAGAAAAAAATTTTGCAATAAAACCTCCCAAAACAAAACACAACGCCTCTGCGGAGGAGAGTGCTAGGAAATAGTCGCAAGGCTTGGAAAGGCTAGCATTTTATCGGATTGTTTGCATGAAATCTATCGCTATTATGAAATACTCGGTGAAGAACTATATGAATTACACACAAGATGGCTGTGGAGGAGGCTATGGAAGGGCATAATCTCATTATCAAGTAAATCAACTGCAATTCTGACAGTAATCATGAGCAATTCTGCTTCGCACTTCGGGGTCAGAAATGGCTTTACTGGGGGGGGGGGGAAATTCTTTCCCTGGGGGGGGGCAATTGCCCCCCCCCCCAGATATATAGTTAAAAAGGCACTGGACTCTCTTAAATGGCATTTCCAGAGTTCTGAGAACAGAATTTGCAAAATCTTTGACCATTTTGCGTGGATTACATTAATATATTTTCAGTTTAATATATTTTCAATACACACTTTTCAATTTACAAGGGCACATTTGCCTTTTACAAGGACACATAGTGTGTACAAGGACACGCTATTTTAATGCCTGATTACAAGGAATGTAAATCGAGTTAGGGAGCTAATAAACAACAAAGAAAGCGTTTCTAAGGTACGTCAGTATGCTAAAAATATTGAAGAAGCTAGAGAAAAGGCTCGGATTGTGATAAACGAACTTGAAAACTGAGCCGATCCTTCGTCTATTGTAGCCGATAGCGAGTGGCTTGTAGAGGTCGAGTGTGATGTGACTGATGCCCTGGGGGAAGTAGCTGATTATTTGCAAGAATCAAGCCAAACAGAGCCCCAAAACCCCTCGATAAGCAACGAAGAACAGTCGTCTAGTGAAAATTCTACAGTTATATCAGGGAACAGTCGTTCTAGTGGTCTTAAAGGGGTAAAGATTCCAGTGTTTGATGGAAGTCCAGAAAAATGGCCATATTTCTGGGGTATATTCAGTTCACTCGTAGACAATAATAAGTCTCTTTCTGATGCGATAAAACTAGCACATTTGAAAAATTCTATCAACGATTTATGTGAGAGAAGTCATTGCCTGTTTGACCGGGGAACCGAGCGACAACCAGAAAGCAGTTAGGTTACTTAGTGATAGATATGGGGACCCCCGTGAAGTTGTAGATGCACATTTGGCCCATCGCACTTGTGGGAGACGTGTCAGATATGTTTTGCCATGTTGTCGTCAAGGAGGAGGATCGCAAGTATCACCGTTACTTGTGGCGTGACATGGATTCAACAAGACCGCCAGATGTTTATGAAATGAACTGTTTTGTATTTGGTGACAAGTCCTCACCCTGTGAAGCGAACTTCGCAGTTATCCGTAGGACGGAAGATAACCAGGATCAATGGCCAGAAGCTGCAGCTACAGTCAGGCGAGACACCTTCGTGGACGACTTCTACAGTTCCTGCAATGATATGCCGCAGGCAGCTTCCTTGAGAGCTGATGTCTCATCCCTGATGGCTAAGGGTGGTTTTCCTATGCGAAAGTGGCTATCCTCTTCACCGGAAGTGCTGATAACGATACCGGAAACCGAACGGAGTATCTCGAATGAAAACTTACAGCAAGGTGTGTTGCCAACTGGTCGAGCATTGGGAGTTCGGTGGGATGTACGATCAGACACTCTATGACTCACTTATGCACATGTTGAACGTCCATCCACCCAGTCGACCAAACGCGGTATTCTAGCCAAATTAGCTGGCCTATATGATCCACTGGGATGGTCGAGTCCATTTACGGTACGTGTAAAAATCACCCTGCAACGCACATGGTCCAGAGGACTAGATTGGGATGAACCCTTACCAGTCGACATCGCATCTGAATGGGTTAAGTGGGAATCCGAGGTCGCAGCCCTAAAGGCTTTCGCAGTACCACGGTACAGTTACAGTCTGTCATCAGAAACATTGACGAGAGAGCTTGTGGTTTTCTGTGACGCCTCGGAAGATGCCTGCGCAGCTGTCGCCTATATGCGTGCAGTACTTGTGGACGGTGAAGTCATATGTCACCTAGTCATGGCGAAGACACGCCTCGTGCCATTGAAAACGATCTCCATTCCCAGAGGAGGGCTGATGAGTTAATTGTCAGCTAGCTGTGCGTCTCGCAAAAACCATCTGCGAACAGTTAGGTCTGAGTATGCTTCATGTTACGTACTTATCCGATTCAACTACGGCGATATGGTGGATCCACGGAGAGCTGCGAAATTGCCAACCATTTGTTGCGAACCGAGTAGCTGAAGTGATTTCGGAGAGTGATCCCGGACAATGGCATCACGTAAGAACGGATTTGAATGTTGCTGACATTGCAACGAGGGGAGTCGCCGCCGCAAATTTTTTTCCGTAGACAGTCGGACTCCTCATTGATAGTCGGACGCATCATTGACCCGCGCCCTTAAACAAAACATTCAGCGGATACTCTTCTTATTAGATGCGCCTTCCCAGTGTGTCTTGCGCACGCAATTGGTAATTTCAGGACACATTGTGGCTTCGTATCTTGTGTGGTGATGACATCCGACATATTTTATTAAGTTATATTCGCCATTCCCATGCTTTTCTGTCCTTTTGTAACTCTAGATCTTTGTAAGTTTCATTGTTTTCGATTCCATAATTCTGAAAAACATTGCAATATTTTCCGGAGCGATTGCAGAATACCCGTCCATTTTTTAAGCTATGCCTTTAAAAACATCATGGATACGATGTATTAATACATCTATGTTTAATCTCAATAGATTAATAATAAATAGTTTGATAGATTAAAATCCCATGGCCATGATAGACTGGTGGTAAAGGTAGCTGCGAGGCATACAGTGACTTCAGTAAGCTTTAATAGATTAAATTGTCATAGTGTTAAAGGGTAGCTCTATATTCTAGTAGATACGCGGTCAAGTAGTTATTTTGAGATTAAGGCGACAGTTAGTTAGCATTAATAGATTAAATTCTCATGCTATAGATAGCTTAAATGTGGTGTAATATGTAAATATGTTCCTCACAACCGGACATTGGTGTTTGACAGATTATGATTAATTAGCGTCGCTGGGAGAAAAAAAATTTATATTATAAAGTATACTAAACATAATATTAAACATTAAAAGTCTTGCTTGATATTTCTTTATAGTATCAATTCGTAATATTGTCTTAGTAATTAGATCGAGAAAATAAGATCTGGTATATACCCTTGTAGAATCAAACACTATTTAATTGCTATTTAATTCCTATTTTATTGGGCTATTTAATTCCTATTTGTCAAAGTATTTATTTCCTATTTTTACTATTATTTTTTTTCGAGGTTTTTCCTATTTAAATTGGGGTAGAAAAGCTATTTTTTTCCTATCCAAGTGGAACCATATTTTTTTCCTATTCATGATATATTTCTAAACAAATACTTAATTGATGTACTCGAATAGAAATTAAATAGGTTTCAAATATGATAAAAATAGAGCTATTTAAGGAAATTATTAAAAATATATAGTTTCGACATAGTTAATAAATATGTATGAAATAGTTAAAACATAGTGACAATATAGGTATAAAATATGTAATAAATAGTTGAAATGAGTTTCAACTAAGTTTAAAATAGTCAATAAATAGTTGAAAAATAGTGATATTATAGTTTAAAAATAGATAATAAATAGTTCAAAAATAGTGACAACATAGTTTAAAAATAGATAATAAATAGTTCAAAAATAGTGATATTATAGTTTAAACATACTATTAGATAATAAATAGATAAAAAATAGTGATAATATAGTTTAAAAATAGATAATAAATAGTTTAAAAATAGTGATAATATAGTTTAAAAATAGATAATACATAGTTCAAAAATAGTGATAATATAGTTTAAAAATAGATAATAAATAGTTAAAATACATGCCAGCTTGTTAAAAATAGATAATAAATAGTGGATATAATATTGCCCAAATAGATTAAAAATAGTTAAAAAATAGTAATAACATATTAAATAAATAGTTAAAATATGTCCTGTTAATACAGTTAAAATAGTTATTAAATATAGTGTATACAAATACATATAGCCTATAAATATTTTTAAAATATATTATAAATACCAGTAGTTAAAACATAGATAATAAAAAGTTAAAACATATAATGTAAATAGTCTTTAAATAAAATATTATTAGTAAAACGAAATGAGAACAAGTGTAGAAGTGCTGAAACATCAGAGGCTATTACGGACCCTACTTTAGTATTTACCGTCTGTAAATGCCAGACAATTTTACTTATAAGTAGGTAGAGGTCTGTCAAAAAATCAGTTAAAAATTTGTAGTTAGCAGTCTATATAGTAGCCAAAGAGTTAAGTATATACATACAATAACTTGGCTGGGGACCGGGCAGAAAAAAAGCAAGAACATCATGTAACATCAAGAATAGGGCGAAGCTCAACTGCAGCTAGTTCAGGCCTTCTTTACAGGTTAGAAAAAACATTTATATATTTGAATAATACCCTGAATCTAGCTGGATATTTTTCAACTATCCAACATATACCCTGTAAAGAACTTCATTCTTCAAGTAAGTAAGGTAAGAGCAAATTGCTCCTTTATAGGTGTTAATATTTAGGTGAGATATGGGCGAGCATGCCACAGTCGGTAAGTAAAATTGTCTAGCATGAAATGTCAGAGTTAAATAATAATATCAAAGTACTTAAGTAGGAAGTGTTTGATGTCAACATGAAACATGGGCAGAGTCTAATACGCTAGCTAGACACTTCCCTTGATGAATAAAATTGTCCGGCATTAGGCAAGATAACATTTAATAACAAAGTGCTGAATATTGGGCTCATTGGAGTGAAATGGGTAATTCCAAAAACAATCAAACCCTTGCCGGGGTGTCTCTAAAATATATAAAATGTAGCCCAAAGGTTGTTACATATATTATTAAGCAGAACATGTGGTGTATTAACTAAATGTCTTCATAAGTTTGAACAAGCAAACTAAGGACTTTAACTGTTTCCAGTTAGGGACACATCTATAATCAAGTTGCCACATATGACAACAACACATCAAATTGATATTTTTATCTATCCTAAACTCACCCACCTATATATGAATAAATATTGGAAACTTATAAAAGTACCAGTTAATTTGAAACCAGTCGATAAATTTTCTCAAACCATGTTTAGCTGGGACATGTCTGGGTAGGCATATGAGAATTTAGTAGATGCCATCATGTCAAGCTATATTATTTTATACAACAAACACTGGAATCTGTCATATACACTCTAGTATACACAAAGATCAAAGTATACTATTTGGCATTACAATAAACATCATTTATAAATATAAAGGCTGAGTCAAATGTAAGCCATTCTATAAAACTAATGTTGTTTTAATTCAAATATTGTCGCAGCAAATTGAAATTTTAAGCCGGAACATGTGCTCAAAATTCACGAATGAAGATAGTAAATATTTCCTTTCAAAATTGCTCTATTTATATATAAAACATAACAAAATTCTTACCTGGATGTTACACAGTCATCCCTGTCCTTTTATCTTTACAATAAGTAACACTTTCGCTCAAATATGAGCTGAGATAGTGGTCGTGGTCGTCGTCAAAGGGTTGTGATTGATGGAGCTACATCTAATTGGGTGCCAGTTACATCTGGAGTGCCGCAAGGCAGTCTCCTGGGTCCTATTCTGTTTGTGATATTCATAAACGATCTTCCCAACATATTACCTGACGAGACTTTGGCAGCTTTGTATGCAGACGACACCAAACTGTACAAGTCCATCACATCAGTAGGTGACTGTGAAAGTTTGCAACAAGCTTTAACAGACCTTGACTGCTGGAGCCGTGACAACAACCTCAATTTTAACGAGTCGAAGTGTAAGGTGTTGACAATTACAAGGAAAAAAAACCCGCTGATGTACGCATATCACATGGGCTCAAAGGAACTTACTCGTGTGAATAAGGAAAAAGATCTTGGTGTCTTCATAAATTACAACCTCTCATGGGACGATCATGTTCATACCATCACCGCCAAAGGGAACAAGATGCTTGGCATGCTGAAAAGAACTTGCCCTCTACTGACTAACACCGCAGTGAGGCGGACGCTGTACTTGTCACTCGTGAAGTCCCAGATAAGTTACGCCACCGAAGTCTGGTCTCCTACCATCAAAATGAGATCCACAGTGGAACGTGTACAAAGGAGAGCCACCTCTTGGATACTGCAAGCCAAGCGCGGAGAAATTGCATATAAGCAGCGGTTGATAACCCTTGGCTTATTACCCCTGTGCTACGAGAGAGAAATAAAAGACTTAGTGTTCTTTTTTAAGGCACTGTATGGACATATTGATCTTGACGTGCATAGTTTCGTTTCATTTGTCAACAATGGCCGAACACGACTTAGTCGAAATCCTTCACTCACACTCAAAATTCCTTTCTGTAAATCCAAAACATTTCAATTCTCATATTTCAACCGGCTTGTCAAGTTATGGAACCACGTCTGCAAAATTCTTCCCTCT